AGAGAGAGAGAGAGAGGGAGAGGGAGAGGGAGAGGGAGACACAGAATCCAAAGCAGGCTCCAGGCTCTGAGCTGTCAGCACAGAGCCCGATGCAGGGCTCGAACCCACGGACCGTGAGATCATGACCTGAGCCGAAGTCAGATGCTTCACCGACTGAGCCACCCAGGTGCCCCAAGATTATTTTTCTTCGTAATCAGAACCAGCCCACCATACAGTTGGAAGGGTAAATATTTGCCATGTTTGGTGACAGACGTTGATGGGTTAAAAGAAAAGGTCTAGGGAAAAATCGTGTCTTTCTCTCGCATATCCCTCCATCTGTATTTACTGTGCGAAAAGGTCACTTGAGCACAAGAGCTCGAATTTCGTACTTATAAGCAGCTTCACTGTGGCTAAAACCTTGCTCTACAAATTGGCTTTAAAAATATTTTGTAATACTCTGTATCTCTCTCTACTATGAAAGCTCTGGAACCATTAAGTTATGGCCTTCTTAAATAGGACTTTGTGACTGTATTTTACATAAATGGCAGGAATCGTCAAGGGATTTCTGTTTTACTCTCAAACTGTAGCCCTTTCTCCTGACTGTCCATCCACTCCCGTTTACTGGAAGGCACAGTGGTTCTGGGAGACCTGAGCTGTTTGCCTTGTCAGTCAGGTCCCTGGCTCCAGTTTGTGGTAGGAGGGAAGAGGAGGGAGAAAGCTAAAAAGGCTGAAATGGTAAATTACTGTAGGTACTGGAGAAAAATAGAATTAGAAGCATTTGCGGTTCGGACGAAAATAGCGCATTTCCTTTCTGCTTGGACAGTGGGGGTCAAAGTGCTCCAGGGAATAGAAAATAAATAAAAATTGATCCCTCACCAGTTGAAGGAAATGCTCTGACTCTGTGAACTGAAATGACAGCTCCAGATTAGAGGATCCTGTGAGACCACTTTTGAAGGTTAAAAACCACAACAGCAACAGCAACGACACCACACCAGGAGACTAAAGAAAATGTGACACAGCGTATTAGGCAATGTAGTCTTTCGAGAATGATTTCTACGGTCCTTTCTCAAGACGGTGGCTAGAGAGCAGAACCTGATCAGGTATGTGGCCATTTTGTTCCCGTTGTTGACCATGGTCGTTCCGTCTCTTCTTGCAGGTGAGAAGCCTTATAAGTGCTCATGGGAAGGGTGTGAATGGCGTTTTGCACGAAGCGATGAGCTCACGAGGCACTACAGGAAACACACAGGTGCAAAGCCCTTTAAATGCAACCACTGCGACAGGTAAAGAAACGAGGAAGCTTCCGGGATGGGGAGGGGAGAAGGTGAGGCGGGTTGGGGGTGGACTGCCCATATGCTTCTGGGGTTATCCCAAGCCTCTGTCCCAGAGACTCAGGCCTGGGAATGCCTTTTACTTGGCCACTGAGAAAACCGAGGAGATAAGGGTGCCTTTCAGGGTAAAATCAAGAGATGATATGGACTCGTGGTCCGGTAACATGGGTAATTAGCGAATGCCAGCTTTGGGCCAGGAATCGTGTTCGTCACTGAATGGCAATAAGACACAGTTCCTACCCTCAAGGAGATGATGTGGCAGATGATTTTACTGTAATATGAAAAGTAATAAGCTAGAGAATGGTCACCTGTAGCTGCTCCTTCTGATCTTTTTATTAGCATCAATAGCAGTTTTCCTCACGCTTAATAACATGAAAGAGTGGAAAGCCTGCTGAACGGAAGGAAGGCTGCTCATAAGGCTCTCCTCTGAAGCGTTAGTAGACATGAATTTACCGGAGAGAGTCCCCGTTCTTTGGGGGCCTGAATCACTCATTCTCCTTTGAAAATAGGGACTAAAGTCTAAAAGATGGCGAGGCTTTGAGAACTTATCCTATAATTCAGTTTCAAACCTTCAGCATTTGATAGTAGAAGAAAGAGCACGTAGCAACAGATACTTCACAAGTAATAGTATCTGACAGCCTTGGCATTATCAACCAATAAACCCCAAAATGGAGACTCTGCAGGCCAAGGTGAAGGCAGGATTAGGTTTAGACATAATCAAATAACGGGCTTGCATCTGAGCATGTTATCCTTCTAATCCTATTTCTGTGTTTAAAAGGAAGCTTAAGAAAATTAACCATCTTTTTAATGCAATACTAAAGGTCTCAGTTATGATGAGAAAAATGCTCCTAATACGATAAAAGCCCTGAAAGCCTCAGGGTTCCCCAGCCCGCAGGATGTCCGTAGAGGCCTGGCTCTCCGTGGGAGGAAATGCGATCGCTTTCACATCCTGCCTCCCCGCGCCTGTGCTGGCACCTCCCCGCACCAGGCCTTCCTCTGGAGTCGTGTGTGTGTGTGTGTGTGTGTGTGTGTGTGTGTGTGTGTGTGTTCGTGTGCGCGCGCACGCGCATGTGTGTGTTTGGAGAGCAGAGCAGTAGTAGCCAGGTCTCATGGGTGGCCGGTTGGCTTGGTGCTCCTTTAAGATGCTTGTAAAGGAGCATTCATGTTTTTCCTCCTTTTTTTCCTTCTTCCTGAAGAGGCTATTTTCCTCTTATCTTCATTCTTTAAGCACTAAATAAAGCCCCCATGCCTCCTGGAGCCCAGAGATAACCTCCCACCCCAGGGCCGGCCGAGGAAGTCCACTTTATGAAGCTATTGTCCTTCATTCCCTTGGAGTTCTCTTCTGCTCCCCAAGAACAGAACCTGATTTTTAATTTCTATCCCTTACCGCCAAGGCCTCCTGAATTTATGTGCATCGGCTGCTTTTCTACAGATTATACTTCAGTAATGTTTCTCACTTGACATCTTCCCTCAACTGCCATCTCAAGTTCATTTCTCTCTAGTCCTGGCTGCTAATAAAGAAGCTGCATAGCGTGTGGCTCTTTGCCCACAGTTCTCTGAGGGAGAGGATTATATCAACTGGGATGAAGATGAATCCTCTGTGAGCTGTCCAAGTGTGGTGGTAGCAGGCATACACAAAAGACGCCCATCCCTGAAGAGTGGTGTGGCCGTGGCTCAGATTGTGCACTGTGGACTGCATTGATCCTTAGAAATGGATGAACAATTCTTATTGGGAAATGGCCAGAGTTAGTATTCCTCTCTTCAGATCAACTGACTTCTTAAGAAATTTACAACTGTCCAGCAGTCGACATGCTAGGACTAACTCTGACCGTTTGTATGATTTCTGTGGAGAGATAACTTCAAGCCCACTGGGTATTTCAGTGAAGGAGATGTCAGAGATGCGTAATTTGGTTAGTCTTTTGCTTTATTTTCTTCTCCAAAATATATGCTTTCTGGAGCTAGAAATTCACTGGGCAGATGGTACAAGTTCTGTGACACAGTATTTGGGGGAGATTGCGATTTGGGAGAGGTCTGGGTCAAAGTCCCGTGGCATTGGCCAATAGTGCATTCTCAACAATGTCCGGAATAAGGGGTTGGATTCTCATTTAGTGTCTCACGACAGGCAGCACCTTATGTTTCAATGGTGGCGATTGTGCTAAGAATAGAGCAGGTCTGGGAGGTGGCATTGGGGGATTGGAGTGGTCCCAAAGCAGATGAAAGGCAAGCCTGGTATGACTGGGGAGCAGGCATTCCTAAAGGACTTTAACCTTCAGAAAAGAGGGCATCTGTAGCCCTTAGCAGGACTGTGAGTCCCGCTGGTACCACAGCGTGGATAAATGTAAGAAACCTCCCTCTTGCTTCTTGTAATTTGAGAAAGCAGACCACTCCATAGGCTAAGCTTGGAATGGGGCTTCCTGTCTGCAAAGCGTGTACCAAGTCTAATTTAGACTTTTATTTTGCCGATTGGGGAAGTTGAAAAAATAAATGAGTTTTTCTTTGTGTATTTGCTTTGCTTACATTTAAAATTACCAGATGCCACAAAAATGTCTGCATCGCTGGCTTTGTCCGGAAAAATCAGAAGATCCGGTCACGCTGGGCTCGCATTCCCGTGTGGCCAGAATTCTCTGGAGCTAAACAGTCGTCACTACGCATTCGTGGTGGCCACATGCTCACTACTCTCTCACCGTTCCCACCACACCGCATGTCTCCCAGTGTGAAGCCAGACCACCAGTTGCCATGCATCCTCGCTTGCTCCGTTGTCTCCTCTTAGAGAAGAGCAGGATTGCTTCACAGCCATGCCTTATCACAAGTACAATCAGATAGTCAGTCCTTGGCCCATTGCACCTGTTCACTTTATCTGCCCGGCCCCTGAAGACTTTGGGTTTTGTGACCTCTGGCTTTAGGTGTGGGTTGGGGGAGAAAGCCGTGAGCCTCTGCCACTTGCTTGCCATCAGACTGAACAGGATAGCCCGTGGAGTGACCACTTGCTAGAGGGATGAGTCTTGTGTCTCAGTCCATGCGGCACGAGGCCGCTGGTGCTGGTAAACAGGGCTCTGTTTCCATGAGCCGTGATATATAGGCCATTGTTCTGCCAACTCAGCATAGTTATAACTCAGGGAGACTGCTATCAGGACAGTACCTTCGAGATCCTGGGCAGTGGAGAGGAAACATTGTGATCTTTGCGTCAGCCCACTTATAGGTGGTAACAAATACCAACCCATCTCTAGCCCCTTTGGTGCCTTAGAGGGTTGCCGTTGACTTCATGCCCTCATGACTTTACTGTGCCTTTTTCATAAGCAGGCAAAATGACAATAGTGGTTTGACTAATCCTCTGTAATGAACAAATTTCAATCATTAAGGACCTTCTTATTTAAGGTCATCTGACTGCTGTATAGTCATAAATACCCTCTGGGGGTATATTACCCTTAGAATCATTTGATTCTGCATTTCTAGATGGTGAGTTTATGCATTACCTTTTTCTATTCCTATGTGGCTCTCCGTAAGTATAAATTAATAAATATAAATTAATCACGACTAAGTATCTTGCTGGTATATTGAATTTAAATACAACCCCAATGGTGAGGGACCTCGTCTGAATTCTAAGCACCATACACTTACAAGAATTTGCACAAATAATGAGGCTGGTTCGATTCAGGAAGAGTGCAGTTACATTTCATATCACGTGAAAGACTTGGTTTGTTTTTTCACTTTTCTTTTTCCCTGAAAGATCTTGAAGCGTAAAGATAGATGCTTGCGCATATATCGCTGGATGCCCAGCACGTAGTGGTAGGCAGTTGGTAAAGGCAGAATAAAAATCTGAACGTGTGCATCACCGAGGGGTTTCTTCAGATGAAGCTCCGTATCAAGATTACCATTTTCCCTTAGGTTCTCAGGATATAGAAAGGAAAGAGGTTCCGTCCACAGGCCAAGACCTGTCTTTTACCGCCACCATCTCCAATCCCCGTGTTCCTCTTTCAGACAGCCAGCGTTTTCCTGGTGCCTGCTTTACTGCTTTCTCACGGGTGCTTACCACTCAGGCCTGACCGCATGCGCTTCTGGATTCATTTTCTAGTTGCTGCCATTACCAATTGCCACAAATTTAGTATCATTTTTATTTAACTTTATAAGTGCATTTTCTCATAGGCACCCTCTTACGAGTAACCTTCCGTGGGTTAGAAGGTGACACTGGGTTACAATCAAGCTGTCAGCAGGGCTGCATTTTTTTGCTAGAAGCTAGACTTCATCTCCTCATCTTTTCCAGCTTCTGGGGGTGGCCCATATTTCTTCCCTACTCACTCATCCCCTCCTCATCCAAGCCGTTGAGTTCTTGTCCGCTGCCATCTCTCTGTCTTCTCTTTCAATTCCCTCTTGCATTTTTGAAGATATCCGGGATGGCATTGGCCCTACCCAGATAATCCGGAATAATCTCCCTATTTTAGAATCAGCTGATCAGCAAATTAATTCCATCCACAATCTCAATTCCCCTTTGCCACGTAACCTACCATGTTTACAGTTTCTAGGGATTCAGTGTAGACATTTGGTGGGGGGCAAACCCATTACTCTTCTTGCTACAAACTCCTCAAATTGACAGCTCAGCTTTCCCTTCGTCTCAGTCTAAACAGCAGGTGTGGCTAGAGCATGGGCTCTGGAGTCACACTACTTGGGTTCAAATTTTGGCTTTGCCTCCTTCTGATGACTGTCTCAGCTGGTGGAGGAGATAAGAATGGCGTCTTCTTTATAGAGTCTTTATTGAGGATGTTAACTTTTTATTTTATTT